GAGAAAGGGGGCTAAAACCAACATTTTTATTTGCTTCTTCTCCATCATTCAGGGGTTGCTCACACAGCTCCCCTGAGTCACTGGACAAAACAAAAACAACGCAGGGATCAGAAGCAGGACAAAGCAATCCTTGAAGTCCTTCAATACTGGAGTCACTCCTCAGATGTTTTCTTATCCTAGTTCATCAACACTTTCCTGCATTACTGATAGTAGAACTGTGAGTCAGTGCCAAACGTAGCTGCAACAAAGCCTCTACATTTTACCCTCTTCCTTTGTTTGTGCTTCCAAAAAAACAAACTAATCCTTTAAATGCCATGTCACATCCAGAATCCATGTACAGCTCATTACCAACAGCCATTAGTAAAATCTAATTAAGGCTTTGCAAAAATAAAGTCTGCGTGATTTGCTCCTTGGTGTAACTGATCGCATTTTCATTCAGCACTGGAGAGTTTCCTGCTCAGAATGTACCACTCTCTTCCCCCTCATTTTTGTATGAACTACAAACTGTATTGGCAATTTGTCTGTATTTCTTTCAAGTCCCTGATAAAGTATGATATAGTATAGCAACAGAATGTTTTGTCTGCCTAGAAACAAAGTCTTCCACTCATGAGTCTCAATTTATTTTACCAGCCAGATTTTTTATTCATTTAATAGGCTCCATGTTTACTCAGTATCATTCCAGCTTCTTAAATCCAAATGTCTTGTGCTACTTTTATATACATGACACCAACACTATGACATTTTCCAACCAAATTTATAATCCATTTAAACCCCCACATTTGTTGAGTAAGAACTGCTTACCATTAATTCCAATCCAAATGAGTCTATTATAAGAGCATCATTAACTATCCAATACCAGATATTTCATCATTTTGCCAAGGACAAACCTGTAAATTATCCTAATAGCAAACACTGTAAATATTAACACAGTAATTACTTCTTTTTTTTTGCAGTGTTTTGGAACTTCATCTCTGCTCCAAGATGCATTCAAAATCAGCACTACTCAGAGAAAGCTCTGCCAGTTCATTCAAGGGTATTTTATCAGAGTCGTTTGCATTTAACTTTAAAATGTCTAGCTTTAGCACCTTCTGCTTTAAATACACTGAAGTTATTAGTAGGACAGAGTCAATACTGCCATCTAAGATAAACATCTCACCAGCTTTTTCCCCATGTAGAGAAAAAAAAATTTAATGCACACTTCTTTTTCAAGCTTTGTTCTATATTCCTATGACAATTCTATTATTTCCATAAAGGAATAGATAGATATTATTCTTTGAACTTATTTTCTTCCTCCTATTCCCTCCTCCCTCTATAATTTGCTATTTGTCTCCCCATGGACAATTTTCTTGTCATTTTTTTCTCTGTAATCATTCACTATCCTGCACTTCCAGCTGAAGGCAATGGCTATCAGTCTCCTATAATTTCTATACCTTATCCTTTCACCTTATCCATCACATTTTAGATGAATGATCTGTAAGTATTCAAGGTGTTGAGACCTCTGAAATTGATAGAGCCATTTGGGTGCAGAGGGGCACTCATCCCTTACTGCTGCCTTACCACACCGTACTAGAATTACTTTCTGAATGATGCTCTGCATCAGTCATGATTCTCCAGGCCTCTAAACTGCCTCTCTTCCACCATCTTTCCCCAGATTGAGGAAATCCAGCAAATCTAATTGCTTCTCCTTATACAGGAAGACCTGGTTGTCCTTGTCTATAGTGCTGCATTTAATGACCCTTTAAGGTCTCTCTGCAAGAAGGATTCAGCCATTTCTGGAGAGTGCAAGCTTTGAGCTTGGGCAATGGGCAATACAAGCTGTTTTATACAAAGCTACCAGCACAAGTATTGAGCATTTTGTCAGGCAATAAGAAGGGCCAGAATACCTACCACAGACACAAGAGCTACCTTTCTCCATCACTCCACCCCAAAAACTTCTACACAAGATTCTTCACAGTAGTATGCTCTCCATCTTCAGCAGAGAAAGGTGAAAACTATCCCTATCCTCTTCCTGATGTCAGTCATAAAGGAAAGAAGAATACATCACTTATAATAATAGCCATATTAATGAGAAGTGATTAAGGCTCAACTTCAGGAAATGTGTGTCACATTCCCACCACTGCCAAAAAATTCATATGTGAACTTGAACAAATAATTCTGCACTTGAGTTTCCTAATTGTGTAATGAGGATTGTTGTCACAGGATAAAGTACTGAGGGTCTCTGTGGAAAATGTTAATTCAGCTTCTAAAAGCCTTTCACAAAGAACAGGTTTAAATTAATGACAGATTGGAAAGATAGGCTGCGAACTACTCTCGATCTATAGCTCAGGTGACAGAAGAGTTAAGTGCAGGAAAAGAGACATCCCTGATGAATTGCCTGTCTCCAACATGACGGGTGAATGGAAAAGCCACACTACTGAAGGAACACTGACTTTTAATTTACAAGAAGTTGCACACTGCACTGTGATTTCAACCTCAAACAAAGAAAAACCATCTCACTTGAAAGTGAAAAGTAACTCAGGGATTTCTTTATGTAGCAGCAGTAGAGACTGGCAAACTTTTAGTTAAAATTAAGCAAATACTGCTGCCTGATGCTACTCATCACTATCAGCAAAGATCCCACTTTGTTGCATATGTTGAACAGAGCTCCAAGCATAATGTTAGAAAAAACTCTGTGTCTTCCACACTCAGTCAAAAAGGTCAGTTAAAAATGCAGTTTCAGATGTTAAGTCCCAGTTGCATGGTTATTCCAAAATTAATTGCACTTCCGTAAGCAGAACTTGACTCAAGTCTAGGGATTAAAACCCTGGCATTTACTGAAGGTGCAAGAAGGGCAGCTACTGAAATGTTCTTCTAGTTCTCCCAATACAAGCACTTGTCAAAAGAGAGAACCAGGACTATTAAGAGGAAAACCAGGGGATTCATAAGTGGTGAAGTGGAAGTCATTAAACAATATCATGTAACAATACACGAGTGAGATAGACTGGCTTCAGTATATTTTTTTCTTTGTGACTGAGATTCATGCAGCTTTCTCAACTTTCTTTGCAAAAGGAGCTGATAAACGGAAAAATCAAGCTTTAGCTAGAAAACCCTGCCTTCTTCCAGCATGACAACCCCTTCCAAAACCATCACATTGTTCATTTTATTCAAACCCTCCAAGCAAGCACCTTTTGGCAATGCTGTATATTTCAGCTTCCCTGGCATCTACAAGAGTTCCTCTGCGTCAGTGACTCATACATCAGTCTTAAAAGGTCCAATGCAGAAAAGAACAAGGCCAATGTTATAAAAGTATTCAGTTACTGATGGATTGCAGAAATTTTTTAAACAACTGCCCTTTGCAGTGAGGTGCAAAGGAATAGAAACTTGTGCTGTCAACAGAGCTAAGTTGTTCTGGGTGCAGATTAGCTTCACTAAGGAGATATTTATTGCTTCACCTGCCTTGAACTGTAACGGCAGACTCATTGACAAATGGCTTGTAGCAGGTTTAATCTTCACAGAGGTCCACAGCCTTGTAAATATTGTGACAAGCAAACCGGTCTGTTGTGTAGCTATGGATCAGCTTTTGGGGCTATCTACTGTTCAGAGCAGTATTTCTCTTCACAGCTTGGCTGGTAGGAGGTTTATGCTTAGCAGGCCAGCTTGTAATCCAAGGCCTTCTGAAAGTAATGAGGCCAGGACCTGAAGATGACAGATCCCACCCACAGTTCTTATTTCCTTGAACGTTGTGTAGGCACCTTATAACTGTCCCTAGTGTCATCCATTGAATAGGCTTAACTGATCATTTTAAGCAAGCAAGCTCTGTGAATCTATTGGTTTAATGTAATATCAGGACATCAGAAAACACAAACCATACCATTGCCTCCAGAAGGATAATCTTGAGTTAATCCCACAATGAGGAGGTATCTTTCCCCCTTGTTTATGGGAAGACCCTACTGCTGTAGCTTCAGCAAATGAAGGCAGCTCATTTTGCCAGTGCCAAGGACAGCAAATTCAAGGACAGTGAACAGTTAAAACCTTTGTAGCCAGAGAGCAAACATCAGGGGGCAATTCCAGGAAAACATACCGACAGCCACAGGCACCTATTTGGGCACTGTATTTCTGTAGCAGCACCAGAAATTTTGTTAGCTAACTATATTCCTGAGAATGCAGTTAAGCAATATCACTTCACTGAATTACAACAGTGTTACACACAACATCTGAAGCATTTGAGACAATACCACTGTAGGCTAACACTGTTTCCAGGTTACATTGCATAAGCACTGTCATGATAAGGTCTGCAAAAGTCACTGTATTTGCTTTAGTGCATCACTCTGGTATGGTGAGAAAGATTTAAAACCCCAGACTTTTTTAAGGCTAATAACTGGTGTTTACCACCAAAGGACTCAACCACCTGTCCTGGGTTCAGCAGTAGTAGTCATTTTTTCTCCTTCTTAGTAGCTGGTGCAACGCTGTGTTTTTGACTTTCAGCCTGGGAACAGCTCTGATAACACCGATGTTTTTAGTTGCTGCTCAGTAACGTTTAGTCTGACCAAGGATTTTGTGAGTCTCATGCTCTGCCAGGGAGGAGGGGAAGCTGGGAGGAAGCAGAGACAGGACACCTGACCCAAACTGACCAAAGGGGTATTCCATAACATAGCACGTCATGCCCAGGATATAAACTGGGGGCAGTTACCTGGAAGGGATAGATTGCTGCTTGAGTCGGGCTGGGTTTTGGTCAGTGGGTGGTGAGCGGTTATATTCTCTTCCCTTGTCATTCCCCTTATCATTACTGTTATTGGTGGTAGCAGCAGTGGTTTGTGTTATACCTTAGTTACTGGACTGTTCTGATGTCAGCCCATGGGAGTTACATTCTTTAGATTCTCCTGCTCATCCCTCCAGGAGCCGGTGGGGAGGTGGGCGTGAAAAGTGGGGGGAGTGAGAGAGCGGCTGCGTGGTTCTGATTTACAGCTGGCCTTAAACCACGAGACCACCACAGCAAAAGTGAAACTTTGGAAATATCCTACCTTGCGAGAAGCATTTTTGTCTGCGCTCTCCACATCACCGTCCAAGAATGGCATGGCAAATGAGCTGAGATCCTGCCAGGACAGAGAAGAAAAAATTACGTCCTATATTAATGTTTCCTCCCTTCAGAGCATCCCATGACTGTAACCCATGGTTTTATTAGAGAAGTGCCCACTACTTTACCCATAGCAATTGCTGGAAAGCAACAACACAGGCTCTGATCATTCTCCTTAGTTGTGAAACCAACGGCAGCTCTAAGTTCCAAGTGTATAAAGAGCCCTTAGTAGAGCTTGCATTATACCACCGTGGAAAACGACCTGCATAGCCAAAGTCAGGAGTCCTATGCTAAAATTTTCAAGGGGAGGTACCCAAATCCCACAGAAAAATTTATAGGAAATTATAGTTGAAATACAACCACTTGCTCAGCAAATGGCCTATCTTGTCTTGAGTGGGGTGTATCATCTCAGTATAGAGTATTTATGACAATAAACAAAACCTGAATAAGAATATGTTGATGCTCTGGAAAACACATGACACATACAACAGAGGTGGAGAAAATTGTGCCATAGTGCTCAGGGAGGAAATAAGCAATTCACTTGCACAAATGAGAGGAGCACCCAATTCTCCATGACTAAAGACAATAAAATCATAAGAAAAGCATACATGCTCATCTTTAATTAACAAAAAAACCAAACTGCAATTATATTCTACCTCCTGCCATCTGTTCTGTTTATGCTATTTCATGTTCCAGCCATGGGGATTTTAGAGCTCCTTCCTACATGCATAAGGAAATTATGTTAGTGTCAAGTTCAGCATCTGTTTGATAAAAAAAATAGATAAGAGTAATTCTCCGATCAAAAGCATGAGGTTGTGTAATGAGGCTGTGCACTGAAAACTGAATTTTGGATCCTATATCTTGGTTTAAATGTCAGGAATACCTCCCCAACGCAGAACCTCCCAGATGTGAGGCATCACCCTTTCCATGTAATGATTCAGTGCTGCTCTACTACTACATCTGCATCCCATTTAAAATAGCCCAAAACATAAATAAATACCAATTTCACATAAACCTAATTTGAGATTAAATAGAGCTTAATTAAAAATTAGCACTGGCCGGGTAGTCTACAGGGCTTGCTTGCCTTCAGAATTCAGAGCAGCCACAGGTCTAATCACTTCACATTGTGTAATCATGCTAAATCCAAAATATGCTCAAAAATGTGTGTAACTCAGACATAATCCTTACAAGTGTTTGAAAAATATTCTGGTTACATAAGAAACAACAAAAATAAGGAACAAAATATTGAATTACTGGAACTGAAGCACATGGGAGCAATTCATGCCAAGTTGGAAAGAAAGAAAAAAAAGAAAAAAGAGGCAGCAGCCAGGCTTGGCTAAGCTGGCCCCAAATCATTCGGCCACAAACCAAAGTATTCATGAGAAATTAGCATGCTTCTGGCTCCATCTATGCACATTCAATGGGAACTATCTACAAAGGCCCAAACTACAAAGCACCAACCCAACTATACAATGTCATCCTCATCACCATGCTTTGACATCTGTGCTTCACATCAACTTCATTTGCAAATAAAAACATAAGGAAGCATCTCAAAACCAAAAGAAGAGGAAATCTGTTTGGTTTAGATTTTCACTGTTCTCAAGATTTGACAAAGGCTTGCACCAGGCCCCACAGGACCTTCAAGAAAAGCTTCTGTGTCAATTTGCTTATTCTTAATTATGAACAAATTATAATTAGTTAAGCAACTATAATTAGTTAAGATTAAAATGACTTACATAGTCCACATAAAAATTGTTCAGCCATAAATGGCATTTATAAACACAGTTGATACATGGATTATCATTATTATTATTATTCCTACTTCATATGTTACTGCAGGATTTAAGTAAAGAATCTCTGTGAAGAAGTTTAAAAGCCTAATGGAAAGTTACACAAAAACATATCCCCTCATGTTTACTTTAATTTAGCCAGAGAATTTACCAACATTTTCCTCTACCCATCTTCAGTAGGGCAGAAACTGGAATCTGATGCGTGCTAGGTCATTTTCCATGGAAATAACCTCTTTTGAGCTCCACGTATTAGCATCCTGATATTACTGCTTGGCGTAATCCACAGGGAGAAAACCTGCTGGAGACTGGATGGAAGGAGCTGGCTTTAAAGAAGCACACACCTAGTAATCAGGGTTAGAAAAGCTGTTCAGAGAATGTGAAACAGCTAGGAATGAAACTGTAACCTCTTTTGGCGGGGGGGGGGCAGAAACCTTCAAAACCAGGAGGAGGTAGGTAAATAGATAAAACTATTTTTTCTAGGAGCTAAATTTCACTTCCCACTTACAATTCCAAGCTTAAAAACATCTATGTATTAAGTCCTAAAGTCTAAAATTATCACAGAACCCAGCTGATGACTCTATTCTAGTTCTTAACTCTCCGATATCATGAAGGTATGCTAACTTCATCTGTCTTTACAAGCAGAACAGATCTCTATTTGTAAGCAGAAATAAGCAGAGATAGACCTTTCTGGGCAGCACGAGACCCTTCTTTGTTAATACAGGGCTGGAGAACTTTTCAAACAGGATACTAATTGCACTCTTAGTCCTGTGATAAAAGCTGTAAGTGTAGCTGCTACCTAACAATTTCATCTTTCATGTCTTCATAGGATTCTACATGGGAAGGCATCCATTTACCCTTTTCTCAGAACTGTTTTGGAGAATAGGAAGGAAAACCACATTTTAGGATACAGAAAGCAAATACATTGGCTGGCATAGCATAGCCGAATAGCAACAGGAGCAAGATCTGGTTAGCCAAGCCATTTTTTCACCTTTTCCAGCCAGTTTCACTGTTTCTTTCCTTACTGGGAAGGATTCCTGCCAAAAAGGCTTGCCCAGACATGCTGGTCTGGACACCGCTGCAGTTGGAGACCTTGGTGTCAGAGGAGGGCTTCCAGCAATTCTATTGCAGAGGCTGCAAGCTTAAATACCAAACCACTGAAGCCTTGAATCCAGTAAACAACACAGAATAAACAGGATTCTTTTTTTATTATTGTTTTGTTTCAAGGCTACTTTGGCAGCCAGGCTGATAAAGCTTCTCCGCAATGGCTGAAGCCAAGGAGCCAGCAAGGCACCCTGGGATATGCTACGACTGACAGGTCAGAGACCAAATTCCAAGGTATTCTAGGGGGAAGTGTGACCTTTTTATGGCCCTGCTCATCAGTGAACCAAAATTTCAGGGCTGGGTATCAAAAGAATGTTTCGCAAACACCTCCCTGCTACCGTCCTTCGCAACTGTCCCTTCAAAGGAAAGGCATGGCCATAAGCAACACGGTCATGTGAAATCTGTGCTCATGGTGGTGGGTCTATGCCCCACGAACACGGTCAACTCTTTGACCATGTTTCAGGGGTGACTCAGGTCAGAATATCTTCACGGTAGCCCCATAGCCTACCTCTGCTGAAAGGCTGGGTTCCCCAGCTATAAGCAACTTCAGAGTCCTAGCGTAGGCAGCATCACACAGTCCTAACTACTGATGGTGTCACCTAGAAACATTATTTTTCTGCTTCACTGTGTTCTATATATGTGCTAGGATTGCACCAAATTTAAGGCTGTGAAATGCCTGCCAGACATTACAGTTTCTTTTTACAACACAACTCAAGCAGGAGGTGACGCTTTACTAAGACAGCTTTTCAATATGGGGAGACAGCTCTTTTAATACAATAAACAAAGAAAACAAGATACAAAGACATCAAGCTGAGTGCTGACAACAGCCCTGGTCTCACAAAAAATTGCTAAAAGCTTCACTCCTCAGTATCCCACCTTAACAGAGCTCTTTGGGGTCTTCTCCTCTGCTGATGTTACCGAGCTATGAGCCCTTCAACCATCCTACCAAGGACAAAAAAAAGCCAGGATTTTTATTAACATTGGCTGTGAACGATTTCTTTCATCTCAGACTGCACAGCAGCAGATTTTTTTTATATCAACCTTGGATTCATACCTATTACAAGCCTATGTAAAACTCTGAATAGCAAATATACTACATATGCTAATGGCCTGTGAACAGAATCCAAAGTCTGAACTCTGTGGAACAGGGGACAAAGCTTTGTAGCTCTGACTGAATAGAAAATTTTCTTTCTTTTTGAGAACAATCCTATCTAGGAGCCTTGGGGAATTTATATCAAACCACTCAATTATTGCACAAGGAAAGATTCAGCACTGATACACAAAGGAATTTCTGCCCTTTTGTTTATGTTGTTCAGATATACTAGTCATAGTATAGTATAATAAGACTTGCTAACATTGCTTTATTCCTTTAGGAGTAGATTGTTCACTGCTTTGCTTTTCTCCCTCCCCCATGCCATCTAGACTGCAGCATGTGTTTTGGAGACAGATATATAAGTCGTACTGTGAGACTGAGGATGCTGGTGACTAAGTCTCAGTATGACTCAGTGGGAGTGGGCAGTAACAGATGTACAAAGCTGGGTTAGATTTATGCAAGCCAGCTTTGTACTTCACAAAGCTATTGCAATTTATTTATTTGACTTTACTTTTAAGGCTGTTCATATTAAAGAAGAATAACTGATTGGGTCTGGAGAGTTTCAGAGGGTAGAAATGAGATATTCAGAGACTTGATTTTGTCTGCAGCATGAAGATGCCAGAGGCAGCATGGTCCAGGAGTCACTCAGGTGGCTGTGCAGGAACGGTCTGTGTGCACTTCAATGTCAAGATGGATACATCATCACATTTGATATAACAGGTGGTGAATCACCCTAAACGATGTGCCTGGAAGAAATGGGAAATTTTCAGTCCCAAAGAGGTGTAATATAAAAGACTAGCGAGTAATGGCTGGCTGAAATCTAACCCAGATCTCAGCATGTGAAAATCCCCACCCACCTGGTGATTATTCAATGTCCTATATCAAAAAACAATACATGAAAAGTTTATACGAAACTTTGCATAAGAAAACCAGACCACGTGTAATTTACAGATGTTTCTTTCAGCTGTAACAAGGAAACAGGCAAAGTACTAAAGAGCTACTGAAGCCGTTTCTCCGTTGTTCTCACCCATAGAG